TCCTTCACACGGACGAAAGAGGGAGTGCTCAAAGAGCGGCTCCCACAGCAAGGAGGGGCCCCGTGAATCATCGCGGTGCCCCCTATCAAACGGTTATCTTACCAGTCTGCGTGACACAAAATCATCCAGCACATGTATCCAACAGCAATGTTCGCAGACTCACGAACATACTATGTTGTACCACGAACGCGCGTAGCCATCATGTATAGACTATATTACACGGGACAAGGACGCTCACCCCACAGGCAAGTGCCGCGAGCACACCGCCGTGTGTGTGATCACCCGGGGGGACCGCACTTGGACCCCAACCGCGTACATACCCATTACACCCGTACTTCCCATACGCGTGTCCCCCACAGAGGATGGACAGATCGGACTCATTTCCAAGTACGACAAACAGTCCCCCAACTTGATACGATGTACGATCTTGCAACCCTTCACGCGCAGTCAACACATTCAACACAAAGCGTGTCCGTCAGTTTTTTCACGAATCCAACGCGTTCGTCTCTGTAAATAATCTCAAATCGTTGACACAAAAGAATCATCCTCAGAAAGGTACCCAATAATTATTTGTGCTACATCAGAAAGGCGTCGGAACGAAAACGGATATTTCTGGAAAAAACAACTTTGCAAGAGTTGGCACCAAATCCTCAAACAAAACAAAAACTCAACTCCTTGACCAATCAAAACGAGAATTCGGAAAGCGCAACGGCCCCAACCATTAATCGTCTAAACATGTCAAATCCTTCCTCGAATACAGTGTCCAAGGACCAAATCCTAAACATTCCCATCCGCTAATCGGTACCGTCGCTGTTGTCCAAGAAACGATAGAAAACGTAAGCATCCACGCAAACAGCCCCCCTGCTATCTGCTTCCAAAATTCACCCCGAGTTGATATTTCGATGCCAACAGCCCCCTTGCTTTGCCGTTCACCTAACACACAAGTAGGCGCGGCCAGAAAACCAACCAATTCGATTGCTGCTCATGCCCTCTAGAATCATGGTCATACATGACATACTCCCCCATGATTTTCGATGCAAGAGCAGCAAAACATGCGATACAAACCAGAAACATGAAAACACGTGACACACAAGGCATCAAACTCCACAAAAAGTTCGTACCGTATGCAAACTGTCTCCTCAACTGGAACTCCGAAAGCTCCCCTGCTCCCTGATCGGTATGCCTACATGCATGTCAAACAACACGCTATCATCCCATTTCGTGCGCGCCAGAAACACACCGCAGAGCGCGACCACTATACTCAGAACCTCACATAAATACCAAAGTATCGAAACATTCAAAGTACAAAGTGTCCAGTTGGTAAAAAAAAAAAAACGCGACTGAACGTACTCCCTCCGAAGAATACGGAAATAGTATGATGCATTCAGCTGCAAGGTTAAACGCGACAGAAAACATACCAAGTACCAAGGAAAAAAATATACCCACGTGCTACTTCCTATTCCACAGGTTGTTGCAATGCTTATCTTGTCGCAGCGTACAATTATCATCATGAAACCAAGTACAACAAAAAAAATTACGCACACGCCGTGGCATACACACACGTGTTTTCTGCATCAAAGTGCACGGTGCGCTAGCAAGGGAAAAACAGAACAAAAAAATAAATGCGAAGCGAAATGGCGAAGCTAAAACGTACATGCCTGCTCACAAAACCGAACAATGTCGTGTTTCACATGTTCTCCCACTTGGCTGTGACAAGGTGAGGTCGTCGCTGTCACCGTGTCCTTCCCGTTCCCGGTCGACTCGAGGACGCCACCGCTGCTGCCGCCGCTGCCATCGCCGCCGTTGCCGTTCCCCCGCCGCCACGACCGTCATGAGTTCCAGCGCCAACATGGCTGCCGGTGACGTCGCTGCTGCCGCCTCTACCACCGCCGCCGTTGTCGCCGCTTCCGCCGACGGGGCTCTGGCCGAAGCCGCCACTGCCGTCTGCTGCTGCCGTCGGAGCTCTGGCCGAAGCCACCACTCCCGTCGCTGCTCCTGCTGCCGCCGGTGTCGCCGCCGGAGCTTCCACTCCCGTTCCTGCTCCTATCGAAGGGGTACACCACCCCTGGTACCGCCCCCCGTCTCCTCGCGCCACACGAAGATGTCTTACCGGGGTCGAAGGGGTGCGTCGGGGCTCCACTCTAGGTTTCATCCACCCCCTCATCCCCGCTCCCATCACCGCCGCTTTCCTCGCTGCTGCTGCTGCTGCTCACGTCCCCCTCAGCCTTCCCGGGGTCGAAAGGGTGCGCCGGGGCTCCACGCCATTTTTCATCCAACCCCTCGTCCCGCTCTCGCCGCCGCTGTCCTCGCTGCTGCAGCTGCTGGTACTGCTGCTGCTTATGCTGCTGTTGCTCACGCCCCCCCAGCACATTCGCTATCAAGCCCCTCGAGGACTGGCAATGGCATGGTTGTCGCACCAACCGCTTCCTCCAACTCTTCGTCACATACCTCCGTCACCTTTGCCGCCGCCGCCGCCCCTGCGGCCGTCTGGAAACCCGACGCCAACGCGGCGACCGGGGACGCCGCTGTTGCTGTCGCCGTTGCCGTTACCCCCATCACCGATGTCGCTACCGCCGCCGCTGCGGCCGTCTGGATACCCGACGCCAATGCGGCGACCGGGGACTCCGCGGCTGCTGCCGCCGCTGCCGTTACCCCCGTCACCGATGTCGACACCGCCGCCTCTGCGGCCGTCTGGACACCCAACGCCAACGCGGCGACCGGGGACGCCGCCGCCGCTGCTGCTGCTGCCGTTCCCCCCGTCACCGATGCCGCCACCGCCGACTCCGCCGCCGCTGCTGCTGCTGCCGTTCCCCCCGTCATCGATGCCGCCACCGCCGATGCTGCTGTCGGGGACGGCGCTCTGGCCGAACCTGTCCGCACCGCCTCCGCTCCCGCCGATGCTGCTGTCGGTGACGGCGCTCTGGCCGAACCCGTCCGCGCCGCCCCCGCTCCTGCCGATGCTGCTGCCGCCGCCGCCGCCGCTGCGGCCGTCTGTATTCCCATTGCCAACGCGGCGACCGGGGAAGCCACTGCTGCTACTGCCGCTTCCGACGAATGCTTGGGTTGTTGTGATTCCGCGGATGGCGAAACTACAACAACGTGATACGATCCAAGCATGTGTTCCTCCGCTACACGTCTACTGCTGATCCGCCCTCCATGAAATTCAGCCCATCGCGTTGCCGCACTACTGCAGGTGCTACACGTGATGTCGCGGGCCGCTGGGGAGAGCGAGTGGCGGAGTGTGTGTTTACGTTGAGAGAAGCTACGTTGGCGGGGGCTTTTAACAGCAAATACGTCGCAGACGAACCGGCAGCAGCCCCCCCCCCCCCCTCACCAACGAACACCCCACCACTCACCTGTCCACCTGCACCCCCGGTGTAGTCGTCCGCTAGCTGTTGTTACCGCGGCTGTTGCTGAGAGTCACCGCCGTACACCACGCCTGGCTGCTGCTGCTGCTGCTGCTGCTGCTGCTGCTGCTGCTGTCGACACACAGACCCGCCGCCAAACTCGCCGTTCCTTCGCTGCTGCTGAAACGGTCCGCGGGCGAAAGCTGGAGTTGTACCAGGAGCGCCGTTGCAGGACCGTAGCGGTTGCTGCTGTTGACGAGACTGCTTCTTCATGGGCTGCTGCTGCACCGATGGCTGTGGCACGAACCTCTGCTGCACGCACGGCTGTTGCTGCTGCTGCTGCTGAAAAGTACACCCTCTGCCAAACACGCCGTGCCTCCACTGCTGCTGGAACGGTTGCTGTACGGGAACACCTCCGCGGGACTGCTGTCGACCGTGCTGCTGTTGACGAGAATAACGTCCCCAACAGTCCCCCCGAAAATTTCCACCGCCGACAAGAAGAGCGTGCGGGTCGCCGGTCGGCGCTGCCGTCCGCCGCGCAACATTCCCGAGGTCTCTCTCGGCGTGGAGGCTACGCACAAGATTCTCCAAGTCCTTGCGCGTGAGCGAGCTGTTGGCCATGAAGAGAATGTGGACCTGTTCGTAGTCGGCGGAGAGGTTCCTACGAAGCATGGCGAGGACTTCTCTATCCGTGATCGCATCGCCTTTGACGGCGCGGAGAGTAGACAACACTGTCGAACCGAAGAAAGTACTCCTTTGGGTCCTCTCCAAGCTGCATCCCCATGTTCGTGAGAGACAGCTTTAGTGCCTCCTGCTCGGAGTCACTCATCGGCAGGCAGAACTTTTGTGCAGCCTCCCATGCCCCAGACACAGTCCCAACGGCAAGAATTTTAGCCTGAAAGTTTGCCCCCTTCGTGGCGCGCATCAAACTCAAACGCATACGCATGATCGCGCACCCGACGCTCACCGTGCAAGCGGACGTTTTCGCTCCTTGGCAGCCCGTTGAGGAGCCAGATGCGTTGGTCTGGACTCGCCGGCCTGGCGAGTGTGTGTGATAGATCTTGGCGGGCGAGGAGGAGCTCGAACAGCGACTTGAACAGTGGGAAGCCGTCGTACACCGGTGGCTTCCAGTCCTTCCGCACGTTATCGCGGTCACGCTGCTGCTGCTCCCGATCATCGAAAATTGTACTCGTCCCCCCGGCTCCCAAAGTAGCCGCCCCTCCGGCAGCTCCATCCCTGCTATGGTACCCCGGCGCAGTGCCATAGCCAGCGCCACGTATCCTCATGTTACCTGCCGCATACCCGGCATCACCCACTCTCCTTCTCGCGGCTTCCTCCGCTGAACTCCTCTCCTCTGCCTCCTCGAATCTCCTCTGCAGGTCCGCCATCTTAGCTGCCGCTTCCCCGGCTGCTCTCTCGGCTTCCCGCTTCATATTCTCCACTTGTTCTTCTAACTCTCGCTCTCTTTCTCTCGTCATCGCCGCTTTCTCGGCTACCGTCCTCTCTCGCCTCGTTTGTTGGCTATACCTTCTCTCTCGCCGCTCTCTCGGCTACTCCCGTGTCCGATGACCATCGCCGCGAGCCAACACCCGGCCTAGCAAGGCTCCAGCCACGACATATCGTGTTAGTGTGCACCGCCGCCCTCAGCGGTCTGTGGTGTTGAGACTGGGTACTATGTTATCCCACGAACGCGCGTAGCCGTCATGTATATTAATTACACAGGACAAGGACGCTCACCCCACAGGCAAGTGCCGGGAGCACACCGCCGTGTGATCACCCGGGGGAACCGCACTTGGACCCCAACCGCATACATACCCATCACACCCATACTTCCCATACGCGTATCCCCCACAGAGGATGCACAGATCGGACTCACATCCAAGTACCACAAACAAATCTTTTGTTTTCCTTCTCGTCTTAACCCTTGCCGCAAGTACCGTGACGATTTCCACTGACTGACGGATAGTATTCTGAAGAGCGAGGTCTTGGGATGCATTCTGGGATGCATTCCGAAAACGCGTTTGTTTGAATGTTTCATGTTTTGCATTTCGTAGTGCCCCGTCCACGGGTGGTGAGAGGAGGCTGACATTGGGCGTTGTTTGTAGGTTGTTTTCTGTCATGCTGTCCCAATTGTGCACGCCATTCGCATCTTTCGCGTTTCACCTGCAGAGAGAGCTCGTATATTGACAGTGCATGATTCTTGTCCTGGAATTCACAGCAGTGGGACAGATGGATACTTCTTCATTCACGTGGCAAAACGGCATCTACCCATGATTTCCACTGATGATGTGTACGAACGCGTTGGGGATTTCATCCTCACTTACAAGTAGCCGTGCTTCTTTGAGTATATACTCCGGAAGAAGGGTTTGGCATGGATAGGCAGTTTGAGTATTTATTCGGGTGGTGGGGGACATACATTCATTCCTGTATGGCAGCATTGACCACAATATTCCCTGTGAAACCTACATACATATGTGCAGTCCCATTATCCATTCAAACGAGGATACGATTTTGAATCTTCGTGGATACAGGGCAAAGACTTTCCGAGGTTCAATGGGTTTCGGACGATGGATTTCTGTTGGGAGACCGACGATGATTTCGGACAACATTATCTTGGTTGGGTGGATTTGTTCGATTTGGATAGTTAGTTTGTAGAAGGGCGATCCCCCTTCTGTACGTGGGCCAGCGTCCTTCATTCACTAACAATTGATTCGTCCTATGTCAAACTTCGTACTTCCCCCATAATCTTGCCAGATCGTACTCGGCCCCCAACGCTTTAAATCTTTCCATTTATGGGCTACCCACTGTGAGAATTACCCAGAATGAATGGGCCGCTCATTGTGGGCCTACAGTTGGCAGCAACGTTCGCCCTAGATGGGTCGTCCAAGGCCATGCCCATGGGAAACACTCCCTAAATGCTCACCAGGTGGGCTCCCAACGGTGGGCTGCCGACATTTCACAGCAATTCCGCCTGCTATGGGCGGCCCATGGGCGACCAAATTGTCGTCCCCAACATGCTCACCGCGAGTTGACCGCTTTTGATGGTCTGCATTTGGCGGGCTGCCCGTGGGCAACCGTCTACCCCTCTGATCGGCAATGAATGTAAGATGGGTTGGGGTATTCGGAATCAACGGTTTGTAGTTTAGGGTTAGGGTTATTGTTAGTGACTAGATGTTCCTTTTCTTCAGAGTTTGGTTTTGCATTATGCTCGGGTAGGATACAGGCGATGCTTTAAGAAAAAAAAGAAAGGTAAATGGCCATGTTTCATCCCCTTCCTGCTGAAATTTGCTCCGTCAGTAATCTCATGCCAACACATTGTTAGTAAGGAACATAGTGTCGATTTTTTTCTCGTACGGCCCCCCAGAAAGTTGTTTTTCCGATATATTCTTCTTTGCAGTCTTCTTGGGTACTTCAGCTATCGGTAGAGCGCCATTCTCACTTGTTCGTACTTTGTCTTTGGTGTTGACCGGAAGAAAAGTGTTAGGGTGGCAAAAAGGAGACGCTACGAGAGGCAAAAACGAATGGAAGATATGTTTTTTGGAAACAAAAAATATGTGGGGGAAAAAGGTGTTCTAAGTGGGGATCGAACTTATGACTTTCTTGGCTCCACGTCCTAGCGAGAAATTTTTTCCAATATCCTAACCGATCTTATATTTCCATCAGACGGAGTGTGTCGGTAGCCCATGATGGATGGGCTGTGTCCATCAGCTGCCCACGATGGGCTGCCAATGATCTACCTAGGATAGGCTGGCCACAAACCGCCCATGGTGGGCTGCTCATGAGCTGCCCACGATAGGCTGGCATCATTCGCCCATCGTGGGTTGCCCGCGAGCTGCCCACGATGGGCTGCCCATGGTGGGCTGCCCATGGTGGGCCACCCGCGGTGGGCTGCCCATGAGCTGCCCACGATGGGTTGCCCATGGTGGGCAGCCCACCAAGGCCATGGGCCGCACGTCATGGGCACTTTGGGCATGCCCATGGTCATGCTCATGGGCATGCCCACGAGTGACCCACGGGTGACCCATCGGCCGCCCACGGGCTGCCCATGGGTCACCCGTGGGCATGCCCATGGGCATGCCCATAGACAGCCCATATGGGTCACCCATGGGCAACAAACGCCCCATGGGCCGTTTGGGAAAACTATAGAAAGTGTGGGAGACCCCACGTGGGTATTATATGCTCAAGATAATTTCCTCAACGTTTTTCGAACTCTTTGTCCAGGAAAAAACTTCGGAAACATCACACGGATATGAAAGCAGAGCTTACGCCGAGGAAGTTAGATCTAGACTATGTACCTGACGTGGGGCCCTTACATCTTGAATCCCAACTTCGCTTCTTGTATTTTTTTCGCAACAGTTTTGTCAGCGTTTGTGCTTGCGCTGCCTCTCGACGCCCACCAGCCATCCCACGCATTCTGGCCCTGTTGAGGGGCCGGGGGCCAATCGTTCCCCCCTAATAACATGTGTACGCACACACACGCTGAGGTACATATTTTTCGGCTGAAGCAAGGGCACAACGTTGGTTTGCGTTCTCTGGCTCGACAATACCCGCATACACTGTGAAGGACGTGGAATGTACCAACTTGAGATGGACGAGTCCGTCCCCACCTCCTGCCTCATTCACCTGTCTTCGCCTAGTTCCCTCTGTTCCTTCATT